TAGATAAATATATGTATCTGGTAGGGCGAACACTTTTTCATCGTTTGAAATACAATTGCAAGATTGTTATCTATCTTGCAATCAGGGAAAAGGTAATTGAGATTTATCTGGCAATCAGTATAACTACAAGAATATTCTGCCAATTAGGATAATTAGGATAATTATGACTTCTGAGGAAAATAATTTTTTTTTCGTGTTATGTTATGTGTTATGATAATAATTATTATATTCCGGCAAATCGCCATTAACATTGCCACATGAAATACGGGTGACAGGAAATGCAGCATAAGCACCCAGGAATAATGTGTCCATACGGTTTTCCCTCGGGCAGGGAAATTCATCAGACGACGATCATTAATCAGTCAAATTGGCCAGCAGGATAATGAAATTTTCTTGAGGGTGAGCAGTCGACAACCCTAACGAAGATATATCTTTTGCAAAAAAGATGCCCAGACGAAAAATAGTAGTTCTATATAATCAGTAATGATACATAAGTACTTCAAAATATTCAGGACCCTGGAGGTAAAACATTGAATATAACCTCACAAATGATTGAGATAGTTTTTCACAATGATCTTGCATGAGAATCGTGTTTTTCGGCTTTCAATAATTGAAGCATGCCATAACATTGTGCTGTTGTACAATGCACAAAAAATGCAGCGAGAGACGCAGGAATCTGATTTTTCAGGTAGGTCAGGTAGGTACATTGTGATCTGAAAGTACGACTGTAGTCAGTCACATATAGTTTTCATTTTGAAATTTTGTAATTTCTTATTGGAGTCCCTTCTGCAATAGTGACTAATATAAATGCTCGTGAAGTTTCTAAAAGAAAGCAAATAGATTGGATTCATGCAATCAAATGGGAGGACTGGTCTGACATGCTGATGAAATATGATCGTGTGTGTTGTAGACATTTTCACTCAATTTTAGCAGTATGTTGAGCTCCTATTGCAGAAGTGGCAGAAAGAATTCTAATTAGAAATGACAAAATTTCATAACGAAAACTTTGTAAGATCACTATTTACCTGAAAAATATTGTGGAAAACTATTTCAATCCTTTCCCTTTTTTGTAAATGAGGTTGTGTTTCAATGTTTTACAGAAAAGTGAGGTTGTGTTTCAATGTTCTACCTCCAGGGTCGTTTATCGTGCGCGCGACCTATACATCGATAACTTGTTGCATAATTACAAAGAGGGTTAGTTTAACAGATGAAATAATCGGACCGTGAAGAGGGAGCCCACTAAACATGAAACATTCCAGAAACATTTCAATTCTTCCCTATAGTGGACTGTGTGAAACGTTACTTGAAACGTAACCCAGACGTTTCGTTCGGGTTTCTCGAATATTAATATCAAAATGAAACGTTTCAAGAAAAATGCACCCATGTAAGAATTCATGTTCTAATGCTGCTTCTACTGATGTTTTATGTTTTTTGTTGTGTTGCCTACACCTATTCTACATCATAATAAATACCTATCACTATAGAAAATCCCGAATCAAAAAACAGCTGCTGCTACTATACCACGCCATCAATGTTGAACTGTACTCATAATCATATTTTACTTCAACGCTTATCCAATTTTCAATATTGTTTATGCCTAAACCTTAGTATCCCGCCTCAAAATGTAGATGAGACCGAGTAATATGTATTTCGTATGTCGAATTTCTTGTTGCTAAGGAAACTTGTGATGAATTGGAGACGCGGGTGTGGATGCGGAAAGGGAAAGGATCGGTATCGGTACAAGACAGTACAAGTTCAGAGGGAGTCGACTGAAACGAGACGAGAGTCAATGATAGCTTAGACAGCGTGAGATGAGCATGAGATCAACAACACTCAATCGCCAACTAATGCTACAGTCCTGTTTTGAGTTTGCGAAATACAAATACCTAGTCACTGTTTCTGATTTCTGAATGTATGTGTTTGGCAGTGGTAGTCAAACCTGATAGTTAATTTGTGATCCATCGTATCCAGTTGCTTAGTTTCGAGCAACCAAAATAAAGGGTCATCAGGATTCACGAAATATTTGTGAATGATATCGGTGAACGGCACGGATTACCATCATGAGAAGCTGTTTTGTATTTCTCACATGGGTTTTTGCCTACTGTTTGTGAAATAAGAGTAAGTTGTACCGAATAAATTTGTCTGCTTCTACTGTCTATATATCTTTATTTCAACACCATAAGCACTTTCTTTGAAGAGTTGATAGAACCATACAAAATTGGAAACCATTATGAAACGTGTCCAGGACAGTTTTTTTGAAACGCATCCAAGACAGTTTTGTTGAAACGTGTCCATAACGGTTGTCTTGGAACGTAGTGTCTGGGACGATCTTGTTGAAACGTTCCATGAAACTTCACTGCGGTAGGACATTTACATTCTCTGGAACGTTTCTGAAACTTCAGAGAGACTTAAGTGGAGAGGTTTCAGATATCCGAAAGACATTTCTGAAACGTTCCTGATACTGAAATTTGTTAAGTGGGAGGATTAATGTGTTGAACTGACACGATTTGTAATTTTGCAGGAAGTTTGAGATGTATAACCTTGAAGATTTTGAAATTCGAATTGTATTCGTTGAGATTATTTTTTGAGTAATTCTGAACTAACGCCAAAATATTACAACGTGCTTTGTTTGTATGTAAACAATATAAATTGGTTACTATGGAAATGGAAATAATTCAAAATTTTTGATTGGTGGAACTACTCTATGTATATCCACGTATATTCGAGATTATACAAGGTAGCTTAGCTCAATTAGAATCATACGAAGAAAATAATCAGAGATAGAGTGGGCGGAAAAGTGTTCAGGGCCACTACTTGAGGGTTTGTTTTTCATTTGGAAGTTGAAAGGGCGATGATCTCACAGATGGCAATAATGCGACAACGGTCAAGAGTATTGTCCCATATTGTTGGATTGCAATATCCCTTAATAAGGAAGTTGCCTCATAACTTTTTAATTATGAAATATTAAATTCTGCTATGGTGATATCGTCTCATTGTCGGTTGAACTTCATAGTCAGCAAATATATACAGAACGTTTCAGATTTAAATGTACATACGATAGTCGCAGATAGAGGACACTTTGATAGTCTCAAATCAACCCTCATTGATGTATCTACAGTCTTTTATAACTGAGATACAGGACGTTAATATGATTTTGGCAAAATCTTCATCTGATCATTATTCTTGTATCACTTTGTATAATCCATTCATACTTGGTAGACATATTCCACTTATATCACCCATCAAAACTAAAAAGAAATCGAGATCAGAATCCAGGCATGCCTGAAAGAAAAACAGAAAACTTCTTTTATTTCAAAAGCAACACTCTGTATGGCAGAGTTTTGTGGATATGTATAGATATTTTCAAAGAGCAGGAGAAATGAATAAATTGACCGACTGTTTAGGAGCGCGCATCCAATTTGACAGATGATTTATCATCATTTTTTGAAATTTTCAGCTCCAATTTCGATGTATTTTTACTAAACTCGTAATTCAAAATCCAATTTTAATACAAAAAATAGCACAGTCTTCAAAGCTCAACATAATAAAAGTCAAATTAGATGAACTATATCAATTGATCATTCTAGAACACGTGATTTTGACATGGTTTCTTGATTGGCACACAAACTATCTGTTAGGTTACCTTTGATGAGCATTGCTCTGGGCCGTCCCTGCCACATCAACAATATAATAACAGTTTCACCAAACAAAATTATGAAATTCTTTCTGGTTCCAACTCGGATTCCAATGAAAACGATCCCACTAATTCTGGTTTCATATGACAAATCTTGACAAAATACAATGTTTGCCCCTCAGCAACCTGTCAAATGACGCAATTCTGGAATGATTAGCGGTGAAGTAGACTGCAAAAATATCAAAATTCTGACAGTTCATGATCACTATAGTGTGATATTATTGGTAACGTTGAGATTAGTGTGTTGAGGCATGATTATGAACGATTTGAAATGTAACAACTCAACACAAGCAACAACAGATATTATCTTAACGTTACCAATAATATTACACTAGTGATTATGAGCTGTCAGAATACCAGAGTCTTTTGCACAATCTACTTACCGCAGCCTATGAATTGATAGTGAAGAATAAAATGAGCCCTCGAAAAGTTCTAGAATCATAGACAAGTTATTCTGTCACGTAAACAAATCTATCGATAGTTCACCTAATTTGACTCTAATGATGTTGAACTTTGATGGCTGTTATTTTTTGTAATTGAATTGAATTTTGAATAACGGTTTCAATAAAAATGCATTGAAATGGAGCTGAGTATTTCTAAAAATAATTAGAAATCATCTGTCAAATTGGCGATGCGCGCTCGTAAAGAAAGGTCACTTTATTAATTTTTTCTCATCCTTTTCAAATATCGAAAGAGACCTACAAAATGTTGCAAGAGAGAGTGTTGTTTTTGAGATAATATAAGTTTTCTATTTCTCCTCAAGACGGATTCTGATCGCGATTTCTATATGATTTTGATGGTCAATATAAGTGTAATTTTTCTACCTAGTATGAATAGATTATACAAAGGAGTGGTTAAGAAATTATGACCAGATGAAGATTTTGCCAAAATCAAGATAACGTCCTGTATCTCAGTTATTAAAGACGGTAGACACATCAATGGGGGGTGTGGGGTGATTTGGAACCATCAAAGTGTCCTCTATCTGCTGGTATCGTATGTATGTACGTTTAAATCAGAAATATAAAATGAAAGTACGCCTTTTTTGCACTGATCAACAAACTGAAAAGAATGCCAACCCATAATTTTTCTACAGGGTATTTATTAACTCATTGTACAAACTATAACAAGTAATGAATCTTTGACTAATTTTAATATTAAAAGTTATTCATACACAGGGTATTGGCTCTTTAGATACAAGGCGTCCAAAATACTTTTAGCAAAACAGCGAAATTTATCATTTCATTCCAGAAAATCATGAATTTCCACTAGTTTGTGAGTGACCTTCTACCACTAAATTTGTTTTCAGATGGCATAGTCGATTTGATAGAATCCTCCAAGCTTTACGATGAACCAGATGGTATCGTGAGGATTCTAGGCAGATGTTGGAATGACACAGAACGAAGTGAACCGAAGAAATCCGATTGGGCGTACAGGTAAGATAAAGGGGAGAGGTAGAAGAATAAGGCCCGTGGTATTCCTTGCCTGTCCGCACTTATAAAAATACCCGATCGCTTCATGGAAACTCATACCTCAATCCTGATAAAATATAGTTATTCATGAATCAATGCCTCCCCAGCTATGTTCTCTGCTAGCTAGTTTTCTCTCAAACAGGTCTCTCCATGTAGTGGTCGACGGAGTTTCATCTGACTCTCTTATCATAAATGCTGGTGTTCCGCAAGGATCAATTCTAGCATCAACACTATATCTACTCCATATCAACGATTTGTTTGAAGCAACTTCATGTCCAGGACACAGCATCGCGGATGATAGTACCCTCCTCTTCCAGGGCTCCAATACCAGCCAGGCAAATCAGAAAAGAACGAGGGAGAAAAGTTGACAACATAAATATGGACTTGGCAACCATTCTCGAATGGGGGTCCAATAACTTGGTAGATTTCAATGCAAACAAAACTCAAGCATGCCTTTTCTCTAGAAAAGCCGATCTCACTGTGCCAAAAATAAGCATGTCAGGAGTAACCATACCTTTGAAGACATCCATTTCGATGCTCGGTATTACTATCAGCAATAACCTTTCTTGGGAAAATCACGTGAGATCAATTGCTAAAAGTGCATTCCAAAAACTTGGTTTTCTGTTTCGGGCCAGGAGCTATTTCACTTCCAGTCAGCTGCTTATGATCTATAAGGAACAGATCCGACCTGTCCTGGAATACTGTTCCCATTTTTGGAGTGCAGCACCCAAACATACCCTAAAACTGTTCGATTCTGTCCAAAAAAGGGCAATTCGTCTCGTGGGTGATGCCTCGCTCACAAACTCACTCACTTCTCTGGAACACTGTAGAAAAGTTGGCGATCTGGCTCTATTTTATAGATATTTTCATGGACGATGCTCTTCCGAAATAACAAAAATTGTTCCTTCCTTGCCAGTCCCCGCGAGATTAACCCGTCGAGTTGAGGCTTCGCAGAACATCTCTTTCCAAAGACTAGTTCATGACTGGTTGATCCTTTCCAAATTCTACGCCACTGGCGGAATTGTCATTTCATCACCATTTTTTTCAATTTTTCAATACCTTCTACTGTAATATCGACCTCTTTCTCCACAGCGATAAAGTCATTATTTTTCGAGATATTTCCAGTTAAACGTGCTGCTGCATCATTATTTTGATTTTGATGTGTATTAATAATGTCGATGACTAGGATCATCGTATTTTTTTCATTACGCAAATGAAACTTCAATCCATATCAACAAAAACAACATAATAACATAATTTTCAAAATTTTGAATATAGTAAATAATAAAACACCATGTAACTGACAGGGAGACATATTTGCATCTCGTGTTGAATCTTCATATTTTGAGCTCAGGATTTTATAGCCGAAATATTCACAATTAGTAATGAAACACCCTGTATACAGGGTATTCCTTAATGGTATGCTAATATTCAAGGGGCCGATTATTCAACCCATTTCAAGAATTTAACTTCATATGAACGTATCTCGTGAAGTCCTAACTTCTGAGATACAGGGTGTCAATGTTGAAAATACGCATAGATACTTTTTTGTCCTCCCTGTATCTTTTCCTGTTGGCAGAATTCAGTCTGCTTACATGTTACATACTGTGGTTATCCAGTAATGGATGTCCTGAATGGTGTACTCAGTCATCAAAATTTGACGTCTGGTCTTGTTCTTTCGTTTTTTCTCTAAAACGAAACGTTCTATCGAGTATCAAAAGGATGATCTTTTTCGTACATAATTCGATATGATTTCATAGCATTGTACGAAATTTGAAAATGTTCCGTCGCTGCTAACTTCTAAGGAAAATATAAACAATAATATTCCCGAAACGGTGCCACGAGTAAAGAAAATGAAAATTTGTGTACATCATAAAATGCGCCTTGATGCATTAAAGACGTGTACCAAATTTAATGAAGAAGTATACAATATTGTCTCAGTTATCAAAAAACTGAATATTTTTCAGAACTTCATCACCCTGTATCTCAAAACTTAAGACTTCCAGGACATAATAATAATAATAATAATAATTTTTATTTTTTGTTAAATGTATAACATAAAACAGTAAAGTACGTCAGAAAAAAAAGAAAAAATATAACAAACAAACAATGCGACAGCATCACAATTGAATACAATATATTCATCACGTTACTAACATCACATATAATTATATAAAATACTCATCCAGGGTATAGCAGGCCTTTTCTTTTTAAATATATTCAAGTTTTTGGAGCTCTTAAGTTGTTCATCAAGAGAGTTATATAGTTTACAACCAGTATAATAAAAACTTTTCTGGTACAACGTAGTCCGGTGTCTCTCAGGTTGGAGGTGGCTTTTGAAGCGTGTATTATGATCGTGCTTCTCAACAGTATTCAAAAACATGTTTTTTTTTTATAAACGTATAAACAAACTTCTAGTATGTATAAACTAACTACGGTTAGGATGTTGGCAGTTCTGAAATATGCTCTGCAACTTGTTCTCATATCGACACTAGCAAGAATTCGAATTGCACACTTCTGAAGAACCAGTACTCTATTCACATGAGCACAATTGCCCCAATTCAAAATCCCGTACTTTATGTGGGAATGGAAATTTGCATAGACAACGAGAGTAGTATGTGCCGACTGCAGTGGTTCTTCATAAACAGACTATAACAGCTACTCTGTAATTTTTTGCACAAATCATTAATATGATCAACCCAATGAAGCTGCCTGTCGAAAGTAACTCCCAATAGTTCTACTGACATGCTGCTGGTTATTCCATTATTAGAATCTTCAAATAGTTTGACTACATCAATCCTGCTGGAACCAAAAAGAACAGTTATTGTTTTTCCATGATTAAGTTGTAGATTATTATTTTTCTCAATATTCGAATAAACCATTTCAGCAGTACTTTTTAGCGTATTTAGATCTTCATCAATAACAAAAAAATTCGTATCATCTGCATAACACGTAACATGAACATTCTGTATTTTTCGAATATAAAGTATGAGATCGTTAGCGAAAATATTGAAAAGAAGAGGACCTAAAACAGAACCCTGTGGCACACCTTGCTCGAAATCCATTTCATCAGAAAAAGTGTTGTTCACTCTAATTATTTGTTTCCTCCTGCTGAGATATGAATCTATTAAATTCAGTGGCAAACCTCTTATTCCATATCTTCCTAGCTTGGCACAAAGTAACTGATGATTCACTAGATCGAAAGCCTTTGAGAAGTCAATGAAAATACCCAAAACAAGTTTTATTCTTGAAATAAGTCGAAGAATCACCCTCTCAAATATTAGCATGTATTTAAGAAACACCCTGTATAATGTATTTTACATTTTCATTTTCACTATCGAAAATTATTTTTTTGAGGCACAAGCATTTATAGACACGAAATAACGACCTCTAGAAAATACATGAAGTAGGTACCAAATCACGATTTCTCATACATACCCATAGAAACCCATATAGTTTCGAAATTTACATGTATCCATATTCAAAAACGTCCAAGCTATTGCGAATATTACTTATTGAACCTTCAGCATTGACACCAAAGGCAAGTTTGCTCAAAAATGAACTTATATTATTATGACTTGCAAAATGAGACAACAATCTAACATTCAATGTTCTGATTATCCGTTTTTTACGAAATGGATTCCGTCGACGTCCGTATCCTAAGAAGTAAACCAAACATCATTAGCGGCATCTTGTTCTACTGAGCGTTTCTTTGCAGATGGAGCGAGCAGGCTCAGATTTCGCTAACGACGCAAGACCACTTTCCGGATGGCTTTCCCACGGATTTTTCCATCCTGATCGCTGCCAGGCCCTCCCCAGGTAGGTAGAGTCAGATCGAGTTGCACGATATTTCGGGAATTCTCAGTTTCGCGTCTTGTTTTCGTTTGTTTTGTCGAGGAAAGCTGATTTCCGCGAGATTCAAAAGGAAAACCATGAAGTAGCTCTCAGTGGCGTATCCATTAACGCCCACAACCGTTTAGGACAAATTGATAATGATTCGAATCAAATATGATTTTTTTTGATCGACAAAGCAGTACAAATTGGAATTGGATTTCATTGGTGAAAAAAATAATAAAACGATTAAATGGTTTTGATACATACGGATTAAAATTTGTATAAACTCAAGAGTTGACTCATTCGTTTTTCCCTTATTATGATGAATAAGAAAGTACAGTCATAAGATGTAATCATTGAAATATTAAAATGGTACCTATCTTCATCAGGTTGTAAATAATCCAATTGCTCTAATTTTTCTTGAATGATAATGTAAGCAATAATTATAAATTTTGTATATCGTTGTAGATGATAGATTTCTTCAGTTGCATTTTTTTATAGAGGTTATGTTAATCTCAATTTTCGGGAAGATTGAGTGTTATGATTTAATAATACTGTGAAATATCTGTCAAGATTTTCGTGTATCAAGACTATATCAAGCAGGTGGTTTCTCAAATGAAAATAGAAGTTACTGTAAGAATTCTGATTTTTGAAAAGTTCCCTGCAAGGATCTCGCGCTTTCACCTTATGCGGAAAACGTTGTTGGCTAATTTTTGTAAATCTTGTACCATCTGTAACTTGCAATTTCCCCAGAATGCTATACCATGCATACCTAGCATCCGGAGGACAATATCTGATGGCACAAATTCGTGACATGTTCTTTGAATTTCAATTTACTGTCGATGTGACCAAGAAATTTGGTACAAAAGATATTTAGTTATTCGATTCTAAATACGATAAGGCAGATAGTTTTAGAATCGGTTTCAGAAGCATTAAAGACAATACGCAAGTTATTGTCACACCAGGATTTAATTCGCTTCATATATCAAATTCAATTTTTTATCTATCTCTGTTATAACAGATTGTTTCTCACGTTTAATTTTTTTATTTATTTTGTATTTTTGTTGTTCATTTTCACTATCCGTTCCTGTATTTTATGTTCTCAAATCTTATAAGTACCTATGTAATTGTATTTCGTGATATTTGGGAGTATTTTTGAATTGAGAATTCGGAATATTATGGCTATTTTTTATGAGAATGTTTGTTTTGTTAGTTTCTATTTTGTCGGAAATAGGTTACTTTTCTGTTTACTAACAGTACATAATGTTTTGAAGTCATAGGTTCATTTCATTATCCTTTCTTGGAATTCGTATAACATAAAATATATCTTGAATAGATCTATTGAAATCTACTGAACTTTTGACTGATGGAATAAAAATCGAACTGGCAACCTTGGTCCGCGCGGAGAGTGAGTTGACAACAACTGTCATTTGCTATTGTCAAAATAATGATTCACGAAAACCAATAGATTCCACGTGTGAATAGGACTGTGATGTGAATATAAATGTTTGAGGTCGACGAAAAAATTTAATATGCACCTCGGCGAAAAACTGTCTATTATCTCGCCTGATTGCTAACCTCGACTATCAATTTGCCCACACGACTATAATAGACAGTCTTCCGTCCTTGGTACATAAATAACAATTTTCACATTGTTGGTTTACCAACTATTTATATTTCAGGCCAAATCTATCCTCTATTCACCCTCTACAGCGAAGATGGTGATGAACAGCTATCAGTTTCTATTGGCAGAGACGTTAATATCTACTACGAAGACACCGATGAAATGCCAGTTGAGGATAACCTGATATCATTCAATATATCACTAGATGACGGAGAGTAAGTATAAAAAGTTCAGCTATAAGTCGCGTGCATCACGATGACCGACCCTGGAGGTGAAACATTGACACACAACCTCACTTTTCTGTAAAACATTGAAACACAACCTCATTTGTCTCGTTTGTTTAAAAAGGATTAAAAGGATCGACATAGTTCTTCACAATATTTTGGCATACGAATCGTGATTTTTTCTTGGGCTATTCATTAATTCAAGCATGCCATCACATTGTGCTGTTGTACAATGCACAACAAGTGCAGTGAGAGACGAAGAAATATGATTTTTCAGGTAAATAGTGATTTCACATATTTTTCATTATGAGATGTTGTCATTTCCCATTAGAATTCCTTCTGCTACTTCTGCAATAGTCTGAAGCTAATACCACTAATAGAGTGAAAATGTCTTCAACACACACGATCATACTTCGAAAGAATGTCAGTCCAGTCCTCCCGTTTGATTGCATGAATCCAATCTTCATGCCTTCTTTTGAAAACTTCACGAGTATTTCTATAAGCACTTATCTAGTATTTCTATTAGCTCCTAAATTTCAAAATAAAAACTATATGTGAGTGACTATAGTACTTTAAAATCACTATGTACTTACCTACCTGAAAAATCGTATTCCTTGTCTCACTGAATCATTTTCAAAACCAAAATGAACTTGAACTTGAAGAAAAAGAAATGTACTCTTGCAAACTTTAATTTCACTTCAGAATTAAATCTCAACTTCAACTAAATCAACCTAAAAAATGTACTTTCACAAGAAATTAGCTCAATATTTTGTATTTTATTCTATTGTAAATGTCCTGAGAAAAGGCACTTTATCTTCATTTATAAAATTGTATCGATTCCTCAACCCTAGTTTCCTTTTCGTATTTCAATTCCAAATACACTACACCACTTTCACTGAGTTAGTTCCATGTGTCGATGTACGAAAATTCACAGACGGATGTTGATATATGTTTCAAAAGAAAAATAATCAATTTACTTCTGAACTAGCATATACAGGGTGTAAATTTGAAAACTTCCAATGCGAATATCTCGCGAAAGAAAAAAGTTAGAAAAACGCCGTTTGGCAAAAATGCTAAAGAGTTAAGGGGAACTAGAACCACCATATTTCGGTCAAGGGATGAGTCACCCCGTCGGCGCGACACACCCCAACTTTGAAATGTCAAATGGCACTACCTTTTTTGTGATGCCTCAAATGAACAGTCTCAGTCAGTAGTATTCACCTGTACAAGACTTTTTTTCCACCCACTACAGGGTGTACGAAAAATATAAAGTCGAATAAAATAAACTGAATTGTGTTAAAACGATATTTTATTTGATCAGATGTTCAAAATGCATTCCATTCTTTTGTAAGCAATAGTATGATCGATGTACAAATGCCATTCTAACATTTTGGAACACATCTCTTGGAATATATCGGCATTCTGCATTTTATTTTATTCGACTTTATGTTTTCCGTTCACCCTGTAGTGGGTGGAAAATAAGTCTTGTACAGGTGAATACTACTGACTGAGACCGTTCATTCGAGGTATCACAAAAGAGGTAGTGCCATTTGACATTTCAAAGATGGAGTGTGTAGCGCCGACGGGGTGACTCATCCCTTTACTGGAGTATGGTGGTTCTAGTTCCCCCTTACTCTGTAGCATTTGTGCCAAACGGCGTTTTCCTAACTATTTTATTTAGCGAGATATTCGCATTGGAAGTTTTCAAATTTAGACCCTCGAATTAATGTTTTTCGTACACCCTGTAGTGGGTGGAAAAAAAGTCTCGTACAGGTGAATACTACTGACTGAGACCGTTCATTTGAGGAATCACAAAAGAGGTAGTGCCAATTGACATTTCAAAGTTGGGGTGTGTTGCGCTAACAGGGTGACTCATCCCTTCACTGAAATATGGTGGTTCTAGTTCCCCTCAACTCTTCAGCATTTTTGCCAAGCGGCGTTTTTCTAACTTTTTTATTTCGCGAGGTATTCCCATTGAAAGTTTTCAAATTTACAGGTATAGTCATTCATACATACCTAGGTTAGGATAGGATAGTACATACTCCTGTAATTGGGCCTCAAGCCTGTTGAATGTATGAACATTAAAATAAAATAGAATAGAATGAAAAATAAATTACCACCTCTAGCTCTAATAACTGCCTGCATACGTCGGTTCATACTGTCATTAAGGTTACAAATAGCATCCTGAGGGATATTGTATGTGTCATTTCTCCTGAAGGGCTTCATTTAGTGTGACTGGAGCTACTGACTAGTCTACCAAGCCGTTACCATCGAGGTGGGTACCGACCAAGCATGTCCCATACTTGCTCTATTGGGTTGAGATCAGGCGAGCATGCTGGCCAGTTCAGTTTGTTATTGTCAACTTCAGCGAGGTATTGTGTAACACACATTGCTGTATGTTGCCTGTATTAGGATAGAAACATCGCCGATATATCCACTGAAAGGTACAACGTGATTGTTTAATATCTCATCCATATATCGGTGGGCCGTCAAGAATCCATCGATGACCACCAACTCAGACCTTCCAGGTGGTTCCCACCCACACCATTACTGAATTCCGTTTAAAGCTCAGACGGGCACTGAACGTGCACTTAGCAAATCTTTCTCCGGTCCTTCTCCATACTCGTTTCCGTCCATGTGGAGAATATAAACAGAATCTGGATTCGTCGGTAAAAAGAACATTATTCCATTGACCGAAGTTCCAAATCAAATGTTCAGTGGCAAATTACAGTCTAGCTACTTGGTGACGCGGAAGCAATTTGGGTCCAGTTGCTGGTCTGCAAGCTTTCAAACCAAACTCATTCAATATTCGTCGAACTGTCCATACACTTATATTTGTACCTCGAACCTCTTGGAGTTGACTTCTTGACTGCACTGATGTTAAGTGACGATCCCTCAGAGTTTTAACGTGAAGAAATATGACAACAGAGGCAGTAGTTTTTCGTTTTCTGTCACAACCTGCCCTACGCTTATTCACGCCAGTCTGTCTAGAACGTTCGACTACCGCTTTGATGGTATAGAACAATGAATATGAAGTAATCTTCCAACATATTCATAATTACTTTCATCTTCAACAAGACTAAAACTATTGCAGGAGTATTTATAGGTCTTGCGTGAAAAAATCACTGATAATTTGGGATAAGGA